CAGTGAACGTCATCATGTGAGGACTCGAAATCTATGTCAAGTTATCCGGATTGTAATATGGAAAATCTTTGCCATGTGGCAGTGGCTCTCGTTTAACCTCCTAAGTATGGACACCTACTAAATGCGGACGCGACAAATAAAATACCGTTATGTTAATATCTATCCACCAAAACGAATCTCAACAAACTCCATCTACTTGGAAATGTTAATATGAGCTTCCAACAAACAATAACCCTCAAGTTGTATTGAGATCCTTCATAAACTATATATTAGGAAAGCTAAACCAACTTAGGCGATTTACATCAATTCGTCAAATTTAATAACTCGAGTCGACGTCTAAGCTATAAAGTTCAATCTTGAGAAATCATTTAGGTATCGAAATCATACATGAGCTTTAACACACAATCATCAGCTAGGTAAGTTGCCGTCTATTTACGACACGTAAAGCATCTAAAATCGAGGGTCTCGGTTGGCTGTTGAGCATATCACAGAACAAACAAACTCAACTAAAACCATAAACCAGCAATTAAATGCCACTCAAATATAGAAACCAAGGAGAAATGCAATCCTGCTGAATCATTGTATATGATCATCAACATAAAGGAGCTCTAAGAAAAAGAAGAAAAAAAAGGGGGAAAAAAGAAAAACCCTGTTATACCTTCCCGCCACCGTGGCGTCAAAGGTGAAAGAGACGAGATGCTTTCCCGGATTCTCCTCGTCCGGATCGATTCGCAACGTTTCCTTCTTCAAATTAACATCGTTCCGAATCGTGACCGCCTTCTGATGCTCGACGTACGGAGCCGGAGCAGGCGCAGGCGGCATCATGGGGTAGGGGTACCGACCGTTAGCCCAATTGGCATGCGCCGCCGCGTGGTGGTGGTCGTAGGGAGCCGGGAGGGGCATCGGCATCGGCATCGCCGCGGGCTGGGGAGGCGGGTAATAACCGGGGTACTGGTAAGGGGGCGGAGGAGCGTTAGGATGATGATTAGGGTACTGCGACTGAGACTGAGGGTACGGAGTCGCCGCCGCGAAAACATAGCGGTTGGCCCTGATCTCCGGCTGCGGCTGCGGCGAAGACCGGGTGGCTCCGCCTGCTGGAATTTCTTCTCCTACCGTGCACCCCGCGC